CCATCATATTCATCCCCATCATCATGATCATCAGCCTCATCATCAGCAGCATCAGCATCATCATCGTCAGCAGCATCATCGTCGTCATAATCATCGTCATCAGCATCATCAGAATCATCAGCATCATCATCGTGCTCATCTTCATCTTCATCCCCACCATCGTCAGCATCATCAGCATCAACATCAGCATCAGCATCAGCAACATCATCATCATCATCATCATCATCATCATCATCATCATCATCATCATCATCATCATCATCTTCGTCGCCGTCGTCAACATCAACATCCGCATCAGCATCAGTATCATCATAATCATCGTCGTCGTCAACATCAACATCAGCATCATCATCGTGATCATCAGCGGCATCGTCATCACCCTCATCATCATCGTCAACAGCATAATCAAAGCCAGCGGCATCATCGTTGTCGTTATCGTCATCATCATGATCATCAGCCGCATCATCATCTTCATCATCATCATCATCATCATCATCATCATCATCATCATCATCAGCATCATCATCCTACTCATCATCGTCATCATCATCATCATCATCATCATCATCATCATCATCATCATCCTCATGAGCAGCATCATCGTAATCTTCAGCAGCAGCATCACCATCAGCATCAGCAGCAGCATCGTCGTGATCATCACTGTCGGCAGCAGCCGCATGCTCACCAACACCCTCACCACCACCACACTCACCATCACCATCATCATCATCATCATCATCATCATCATCATCATCATCATCATCATCATCATCACAATCATCATCATCGTCATCACAATCATCATCATCGTCATCATCATCATCGTCATCATTATCATCACCATCATCACAATCATCACCATCAGCAGCATCAGAATCACCAGCAGCACCAAAAATCATCCTTATCACTACGAGCATCACCACCATCAGCGGCATCGTCATCATCACCACCATCATCAGCAGCATCATCATCGTCATAATCATCGTCATCAGCATCATCATCTTTACTCCCATCATCATCAGCATCATCAGCATCAGCATCAGCATCATCACCATCATCAGCATCTTCGTCGCTGTCGTCAACATCAACATCCGCATCAGCATAAGCATCATCATAATCATCATAATCATCGTAGTCGTCAGTATCAGCATCAGCATCATCATCGTCATCATCATCATCATCATCATCATCATCATCATCATCATCAGCGGCATCATCATCACCCTCATCATCATCAGCAGCATCATCAGCGCCAGCAGCACCATCGTTGTCGTTATCGTCATCATCACAATCATCATCAGCCGCATCTTCATCATCATCAGCATCATCATCATCATCATCATAGTCATCAGAAGCATTATCACAACATCATTGTGATCATCATTGCCAGCAGCAGCAGCAGCAGCATCCTTACCACCACCACAATCACCATCATCATCATCATCATCATCATCATCCTCATCATCATTATCAGCATCACCATCATCCTTCTCAGCATCATCATCGTCGTCATCATCACCAGCACCATCACCATGACCATCACAATCATCTCCATGCTCATCAACATCCTTCGCAACATCCTCAGATCAGCAATCCCCATCATAGTCGTACTCGTCGTCATCGTCTTGGACATCGCCAACAAAACCAGCGACATAGTTAGCATCTTCGTCGTCATCATCAGCGTCATCACCATCATCACCACCACCACCATCATCAGCGTCACCACCACCACCACCACCAACACCGCGATCATCATCGTCAGCATGGTCATGACCATGGCCACCACCACCACCACCACCATCATCACCATCATCCTGGTCATCATCATACCATCATCGCCATCGTCAACCTGATAATCAGCATCAGCATCATCATCAGCATCATCACCAAATTCATCACAACCATCAACATCATCACCACGACAAACAACACCATAATCATCATCACCATCATCATCAGCAGCAGTGTCATCAGCATCGCCGTCATCATCATCATCATCAGATTCACCATCGTCCTCATCATCATCAACATCGCAATCATCACCATTATCCTCAGAATCATTAGCAGCAGCAGCATCATCATCATCATCATCACCATCATCACCACCACCACCATCATCAGCGTCACCACCACCACCACCACCACCAACATCGCGATCATCATCGTCAGCATGGTCATGACCATGGCCACCACCACCACCACCACCACAATCATCACCATCATCCTGGTCATCATCATACCATCATCGCCATCGTCAACCTGATAATCAGCATCAGCATCATCATCAGCATCATCACCAAATTCATCACAACCATCAATCTCATCACCACCACAAACAACACCATAATCATCATCACCATCATCATCATCATCAGCAGCAGCATCATCAGCATCGCCATCATCATCATCATCATCATCATCATCATCATCATCATCATCATCATCATCATCATCATCAGCATCACCATCGTCCTCATCATCATCAACATCGCAATCATCACCATTATCCTCAGAATCATTAGCAGCAGCATCATCATCATCAGTATCGTCATCATTATCATCGGCAGCTCCATTATCATCAGCATCAGCATCATCACCCTCATCATCATCATCAGCATCAGCAGCAGCAACATCATCATCATCATCATCATCATCATCATCATCTTTATCATCATCATCATCATCATCATCATCATCATCATCATCATCATCATCATCATCATCATCATCATCATCATCATCATTACCATGCCTCAACCCTCACAGCCCCCCAAGGGGAGGTTCAGGTCACAGTCTGCCCGGGACGCGTGTCGTCGACAGAACAACCAGGGCCGCCCCGAAAGGGAGCCCAGGGCCAGGAGGGGGTCCGAGAGGACCCAGGTGCCTAGAACTGCGCGGAACGCACGACTGACTGAAGGGAAGGAGAGGAACGGAGGGGAAGTGGATGGGGAGGGGAGGAGAGGAGAAGGGAAGGAAAGGAGAAGGGGAGCGGAGGGAATGTCGAGAGTACGGGAGGGAAGGAACGGGGAGGGGAGGGGAGGGAGTTGAAAGGAGAGGAAAAGAGGGGAGGGGAAGTGGAAGGGGGAGGATGAGGAGGAGGAGGAGGAGGAGGAGGAGGAGGAGGAGGGATACATCATATTCGTGTCGTCATGACCCAGGCGTTGGTTTGAAAGATCATGCATTCCCGAGACGCTGGATTGTTCAGTAGCTGTCGATCCAAGGTCGCTGGCAGCTTTCTGCCTTGAACGGCCGCGCCAGGGCCGCCACCGCGTCGACACGGCACGAACCTACGGTAAGTAGAAGGAGACGTATCTGAATACACCGAAACATTCGGACGTCTGCGCGGACATCCAAGATGCCTTATACCCACCACCCAGGCCATTCAATATGGGGCCAGCGGAACGCACGAAGCGATTACATTCGGCGGGCTCCAGGCCCTGGCCGTGTTGCAACATCGAAGGGTTGATGATGAGATGATGGTGATGGTGGTGATGATGATGATGGTGATGATGATGGTGATGATGATAGTGCTGGTGACGGTGGTGATAATGATGATGATGGTGATGAGGAGGAGAAGGAGGATGGTGATGATGATGATGCTGATGTTGATGCGGCTGTTGCTACTGATGATGATGCTGATGCTGATTATGATGCTGATGTTGACGATGCTAATGCTGATACTGAGAGTGATGATGATGATAATGATAGTGATGGTAATGCTGAAGATGATGGTGATGATGATACTGATAATGCTGATGGTGATGATGCTGATGATGACGATGATGAAATGGAGGAGGAGGAGGAGGAGGAGGAGGAGGAGGAGGAGGAGGAGATGGCATGCGTAATGCATGCTAAGAGGGGCTTCGCGCATTCCGCCCACAGATGATGTTTCGAAGATGACTTCCTCATCTCCAAGCTCATGTCGACACGGACACGTGAAATAGAAGTGATCCGCGCTCTCAGGCTTTGGGGGCACGTAAAAACACAAGTGGTCTGCGCCCCCACGGCTACGAAAGCATCGATTCGGCGCACACTGCACGCATTTCCTGTCTGACATTATTCTGGGACGCATAAAAATCCTAGTGAGCAACGCCTTCATGGTTACGACACTGCCATTTCGGTACCCCACACACACACATTTCCTGCTCCACATCCAGCTGGGACACGTGAAAATAGGAGTGATCTGCGCTCCGAGGGCCACGAAGGGCTCAATTCTACACACCCCTCACGCACTTCCTGCCCCGTACTCTACCAGGACACGTTGAACATATGAGCGATCTGCGCTCTCAGGCTCCTGGGGCACAAACAAGAAAGTGATTGGGGCCTCGAGGCTCCTGGGAGAGGTACAGATACGAGTGCGTTGCATGTCCCTCACGCGCGTCGTGCCCCATGGACCCCCAAAAGGCCCGTATAGCTCGCTTCCAATCCCGATCAACTCCCCAAAGGGGCGCAAATACGCCCCCCCCAAAACATTGCAAAGATTGGTACCGTTCATCGTCGACGCAGCATCCCTAGCACCCACTCATTGCAAAATGTGCGTGCGAGCTTCCCCCTCGGGGCCCGCCGCGACTCCCGCTCTGCAGGCTCAATAAACCGAAACATTGGGAGAGCTGCGCAGATTGCTCAGACCGGCGCTGACCCTCTGCTCTGGCACGCGGAGCGCGCGCCAGGGGCGGCGCCGGAGGCGCGGCCAGCGGGGCTCAGCGCCAAGCCAAGAAATCCGCGCGGAGCTCCGAAATTTTACGCCTGTGCCGATGTCCTTCGTTGGAGGAGGGGGAGGATCGGGTGTCGCTAGAGGTGCCCCTGGCCCAAGGTGCCTCCAGGATTCCCGAGGAGGCCCCAAGGCCTCCGGAGCACCCCTCACGAGGCCCAGAGCGCCCCAGGGGCTCCAAAATTAAGCGAAAATCTGGAGGCACCTTGGGCCAGGGGCACCTGTAGCAACCCCCGAGAGGAGAAGGCCCCTGAACACCCCCTTCGCCCCTCCCCTGGGCAGGAACGTCCTCCTTCGCCTCCTGGACCTCCTGCTTCGCCTCCTGCACACTCGGGGGGGGGGGGAATCGGGCAGCGGAGACAGCTGGGAGACGCGCATGCTCCTCCTTCGACATTTCTCTCCGCCTGTTCCTCCTCCTTCTTCGCCTCCTCCTTCTCCTCCTCCACCTCCTCCTCTTCAGCTGCAGGGCTGTAGCATTCCTACCTCCTCCTCCTCCTCCTCCTCCTCCTCCTCCTCCTCCCCTCCTCCTCCTCCTCCTCCTCTTCCTCTTCGTCGTCCTCCTCCTCCTCGTCCTCCTCCTCTTCCTCCTCCTCGTCCTCCTCCTCTCTTCCTCCTCCTCCTCCTCCTCCTCCTCCTCTTCCTCCTCCTCCTCCTATTCCCTCTCCGCCTGAAGCTGACGCTGAAAGCATGAAAGTCGAGGACTTCAACATTGTCACCCTCCCATCCCCGCTCCTTATCGGCATCGGTTCTCACTCTGCCACCTAACCGGTTGATGGAGACCGGATCCAGGGCCTTTCGCCCGACCTATACAACACAGTACCAACTCGTCGATGTTTCGCCACAACATGAACAATACGCCGTCCATGTTGCAAAACGCGTCGCAAGAATAGGACGGGGCGCACATCCCGCGCGAGAAGCCGAAAACGTCGCTCTGGCCTTGGCGCCGCGCTCATTTTTCTAGAACTCCCGCCGGGGCGCGGCGCACGTTTTTCGCACGCCGCTTCGTCGACGCGCGAGCGGGCGAAACTGTGGGCCTCGCCTCGAAACCGCGCAGCCCTCGCCCAGAAGAGGCGTTCCCTGCCTCGGCGCGCCGCGCACTGTTCCCTCGCAGGTTTGGGGGGGGGGGGGGCCCGCGCGAGTGGGGGCGACCTGCCGCCCATTGCCCAGGCTCCGTGCGCATTTCTCGCGCGGAAGTGGCGATCCCCGCGCGGGCGCGGCTCGCCGAATCGCGTGCAGGCAACCGCGGCAGCGCGGCCGCGCGAGGGCAGGTGGAGGAGGCATCTCGCGGGCCCCGTGGGGGCACCGTGGGGGCCTTCGGGGGCCTCTGAGGTGCTTCTTGGACTGCGGATGCCGTCTTAGGGGACGCCTCGGGGCAGTCGTGGGTCCCACTTTGGGTGATTTGGGGCCGGGTGAAATGCCGTCCTCGCCCAAGCGCCGCGCAGCTTGTCGGTGGAAGCGGCAATGCTGTGCCAGCGTGGCACATGCTCCATCTTCGCCGCGCCCATCGGGAATGCTGCCGGTCCCGCGCGGCCTGCGTGGCCTTCACTGTGGCAAGTCGTCGGAAGCGGCGCCGCGCGCGAGCGCCTTGGTGGGACCGCGCTACAATCCCAATACCAAATTGTGCCAGAACGTATTGCCGGAGGGTGGGTGAGAATAGGCGGGGCCCTCTGACTCGCTCCTCGACCTGGCTAACTTGACTCCTACCCCTACTCTTCCTCCTCCTTCTCCTCCACCACCCCGTTTCCATTTGAATAACTCCTTCTCGCCGGGCCGCCAAACGTGACGGAAGGGTGGGCTGGGCGCTTGGCATGAAATTTTCTCACACTTCCCCAACAGTGTCAACTATTACTTGTCAAAGTTAAGCTGGCAAACGCTACGACCACAATTGAATTTGTGCAACGTTAACACGGATGGAGGGCGGCTCCTAGGCCGGCTCCTTTTCAAACTGGGGCTCTCGCTTAACACCTCCTCACGTTAGTTGCCAATACACGAAGACTGTGTAACAGCTACACGGATGGATGGAGGGCGGTCCTTCTTCAAAACGGATTCCCGCTGGAAGGATCCCTAATATTCATGACCATACCTCACTGCACGTCATAATTACACAGATGGACGCGATACCTTTGAAGAACGAGACTCTCGCTTGAATGACATACCCATGGGGCTCTCGTCGTTCGAAGGTGGGTGCTGGTGTCAGCTGTGTACAGACAAGCTAAGCTGAACCACCTCACCCTGTACTGATCACAGCTGGGCCAATTCAGCTAAGTTGACTTGCGTTGAGCTCAGCAAGCTCAATAATTGTTCGGCGATTCGGCAATGATGCGAGCTATGTGGAGCAACCTGATGGTAGGATCAAGCATGGTCAAATCTATGGAAGCAGACGGAAACAAAGACAAGGACAGAGCCACATCAAGAACCAAGACAGAGACAGAGCCATAGACAGAGACCGAATGGAACAGTCGGGCAAGCACTATTGATGATAGATTAGAACTGAAAGTGTCTTATACACCTGTTCCCTGCGCCTGCGACATCCGAGACAGTCACATAGGAGCTGTAGGTTGATTTGAGAGAGGCAGCTAAGCTGAAGCGCAAGGCTGAAAAGAGGCATCACAAGGGATCGGAGGTGTCCTGCTCGAGACGCTTCCTCTGGTGCTCTAGGAAGCCAGCGTTCGTACCGAAGAGCCTACGTGGAGAGGGAAATGGAGGAAGTGGGACGCGAAGAAGGATAACCATGGAAAGCAGCAAACGAACATTCATGGCAGAGCTCGCGAGGAGAGCAGCCAAAGAAGAGGCCAGGACGCGCAGGACGTCAGAGGAGGACAATCCATGACAACAGCCGCATGCAAAAAGTATCCAAGCAGCAGGGCGACAACCAAAGCAAGAACAGTGGACTCGGCCCCCGTCCTCTCACGCAAAAAAGGAACCAGGAAGAGGAAGAGGATCTCTTTTCCACGACAACGCAAAGCAAGCCTGATGCCCGTGTTTGCCTCCCAAAGCGTGCAGCCGAGGATTCGCCAAACTGGAGAGGAAATCAGAAGGGGGAAGACGACGAACTGGTACGGTGGATGTGACGTAATTCACGCCCCATAGAACGGAGTTCAACTGTTCGCCTTCATCCAGGAGGGTGGATGAGGAGAAGGAGGAAGAAGAAGGAGAACGATGAAGAGGATGAACTGAAGGGCCTCCTCACGGGCAGTCACGGCAGGAACCAAGCCATGTCGAAGGTACCCCATCAAGACCCGATCCTCCAAAGACCTGGACCCTCGGTCCTGGAAGGCCCTCAGGAGGAGGGTGCGGAAGAGACGGGGCCAGGCTAGCTCGTGCATCCCGGGCTGATTCCAGGCAGGACGGCGAGCAGATGGAGTTGGAGGCAGGCGAGGAGGAGGACGAGGACGATGACGACGAGCAAGGGGGGGAGGGGGAGGTGCAAGGGGGAGGGGGAGGACCCCAGCGCCGGCTCAGTGAAAGGACTTGAGCTTGTCGGTCTCCACAGGCGCTTCATCCTCGTGGAGGTGGGCCAGCGGGTTCTCTGCGCGGTAGTGGTGTGCGTCGTTGTAAGCGTCGATGGCCTGTGTCTCAAGTCGAGCGATGGTATCGAACTCCTTGATCGTCGCCGCCCGAAGACGTGTCAGAGCTCGGAACACAGCACGCTTGATCTCCGCGACCTCCGCATTCTCGACGGCATCGACCAGAGTGTCTTGCGTCTTTGCGGCGTGATCCTGGAGCTCCTTGGCGGTGTCCTCCTTCCCAAAGGGGGCGATCTTGTTGAAATTCATCTCCAGGTCGTGCGTCATCTCCTGGGCGAGGTCGTCTTCTGGACCCCTGCTCGCCTGGAGCTGGACGAGCGACGGGGGCTTTATCTGGACCGCGTTCCCATTGCAACCCTCCTGCTTTGCAAGCTCTGGCTGCTGCCGCGCTAGCAGCTGGCAGAACAGCCCCTCCGTGGCCCCTGAGGCGCACGCCTGTCGGTTACGCTCCTCGGTACCTCCGCAGGCCTGCTTGACCTTCTCCTGGAAGACCTGAGACTTCAGGAGTTGCTCCTTGGTGGCCACAAGGTCGGGCACCTGCGCGTTGTGCAGAAGCGACGCCTTGCACGCGAAAGAAATGGCGGTAATCGCTACGATAAGGCGAAGGGCAGCCATGCTGACCGCGGGCAGTTTGGACCACCTGGCTGTCTATCCCACTGCGGGTGGATGTCGAGCCTCGAACCAGGGATACAGGGACGGGGGAAGGGACTGCGAAAGAGAGAGAGAGAGAGAGAAAAAGCGGGGGCGCGGAGAAAAAGCGAAAGCAGCAGTGCAAGGTGGATGGGGATGGGATGGAGGATGGTCTGCCTCTATCTCTCTCTTTCTCTCTCTCTTTCTCTCTCTCTCTCTCTCTATCTCTCTTTCTCTCTCTCTCTCTCTGTCTCTCTCTCTCTCTCTCCCCCTCGTGTTGTCTCTCACTCTCTTTCAATATATGTCTCTGTCTCTCTCTCCTCGCTCGTTCGCTCTCTCTCTCTCTCATTATTTGTCTCTCTCTCTCTCTCTCTCTTTGTCTCTCTCTCTCTCTCTCTCTCTCTCTCTCTCTCATGAATACGATTATGTGTGTACGGTATGCGTATATACATATATATATATATATCTCTTCTCACTCTCTTCTCACTCTCTCTCCTTTTCTCTCTCTCTCTCTCTCTTTCTCTGTATGTCTTTATACATACATACATACATACATACATACATACATACATACATACATACATACATACATATTTGTGTATAGTTATATGTATATGTGTATATCCGTCTATGCATGTATGATGTATGTATCTCTCTCTCTCTCTTCTCTCCCGCTCTCTCTCTCTCTCTCTCTCTCTTTCTGTAGCTTTCTCTCTTTTTCTACGGGTACAAACAAATATGTAGAGCAACGTACACAAAGTTATACATATATACATATATACGTGTGTATCTTCCCCGCGCAATGGTTGCACTTAGGGTTTCTTACTCGTTCTCCCACAAACTGGGCTGGTGTGCCGCTCTGGCGGCTATGTTGTCGCCGTCGCCGCATCGTTGCCGCCCGTCGTCTGGGCCACTATGCCGCTCTGGCAGCTATGTTGTCACCGTCGCCGCCCCGTCGCCGCATCGTTGCCACCCGTCTTCTGGGACGGTGTGCGTGCCACCTTGGCGGCTATGTTGTCGCTGTCACCGCCTCGTCCCCACCTCGTCGCCACCCGTCGTCTGGGCTGGTGTGGCGGTCTGGTAGCTATGTTGTCGCCTTCGCCGCCCCGTCGCCGCCTCGTCGCCACCCGTCGTCTGGGCCAGTGTGCCGCTTCGGCGGTTACGTAGTCGCCGTCGCCGCCCCGTCCCCGCCTCGTCGCCGTCCGTCGTCTGGGACGGTGCGACAGCCTGACGGCTATGTGATCGCTGTCGCCCCCCCGTCGCCGCCTCGTCGTCGCCGCCCGTCGTTTCGGCATAGACTGCCCAACACAGGTTGCACAGCATTGATTCCCCTTTCTAAAGGAATATGAAGATTTACCCCCCTCCTTGGGTTAACGGGCCGCCTTTTCGTATTGCAATTAACAAGTGATTTTGCACATCGACCATGAGAATTATGAACTCATATCATCCCAGGCAGGCCGGTATCGGTTCTCCCCTCATCCTGCGGAAAAAATCACGCGCGCACACTCATTTATCAATCAACATAATGTTTCAAAAATCCGTTTTGCAAAAAAACGAGGCGCAGTCCGCACGCGCAAATCGTCGCGCGCGCATGCCGAAATCCTTCAAACACCGTTGGTTTCGTTAAAATTTCAAAATAGAGACTCACGGAAACAAATCAATACACATGGCTTCGCAACAATAATTTTCAAAGAAAACTACGCCCGCTAATTTGCGAATTCTTGGGGAAACCATTGGCGTCTCAACATGTACATAAGATGCTGCCAAACGGACCTCTCGCGCACGCGTGTCGGAATCGATGAAACGCCCTGTGCGCGCGTGCTGTCGCGAGAAACCCTTGTAAACAAGGGGACAAAGTGCACACGCGCGCGTCGTCGCGAGCGCATGCCGAAATCCTTCGTGCACCAAAAGGTCCCGTAAGGACTTCAAAAACGAGTGTTTCGAAAAAGTACAACAATACTTGGTTTGGTATATATATATATATGTGTATTAAAACAAAAAATGCACATGCGCTCGCGGTTCTGCGGTTTTATATATATATATATATGATGAAGTGAGAGTCTTCGAGCGGGTATTAATGTATAGTGTTGGTCCAGCTTTGCTCCCCAACAGCAAGCGTGCTTCCATAGCTTTTCGGGTCAACCGCGACAATGACGGCCTGAGGGGCCAGGTTTGCGGTGGCCATCCAGGGAGGTCACAGATGCCCGCCGCGCACTGATGGTCCCTCCGCCGCCATCGGAGACAGGCAGCGCCGCGAGCGCAGTGCCACCCGAGCCGAGCGCCTTCGCGAACCTCGGCTGGTGGCTTGCGCCGCGGGCGCTAGGCGCCCTGGGCTTGCTCGTCGCGCTGCTGGCGTGGCGCGCCGATACAGGCCGTGGGAGCCTGGTGCGCCTCGGCCTGGGCGCCGCGCTGATCGTGGTGGCCGCCTTCTGGGTCGGCATCCAGACGGTGAGAGGCTGGTGGCGCGCCGCCACGGGGCAGCAGGCCGAGGTGGAGGCCCTTCGCGCCCAGCTGGCGAGCCTGACGCTGGACGGAGGCCCTGCGAGCGGCACTGAGACTGGTGGTGGCGGAGGTGCGCCCGAGCTGCCAGCATGTCCGCCGCCGAGCGCACCCCCTCCAGGCATGGCGCAGCCTGGGGTGCCGTCAGCCCCCCCCCCATAGCGTGGACCCCGCCATGGACGCGTTCCACGCCTTCGCCACGGGGGGGGGCTGCGCTGGGCCGCTGTCGTGGACTGCCGCACCGTCGGGCCTGCCAGCGCAGCCCGCGACGGGCGCAGGCCCGACCACGGCAGCGGCTAGGCCAGCGGTGCCAGGAGGTGGCCCAGGCGGGCCAGGGCTGCAGGCAGCCACTTCTGCAGCGGCATGTGCCAAGAAAGTGAAGGAGGCGCTCATGATGCTGCACGCCGGTGCGAACGCAGACCCGTGGTGGGGACGTCGCTTCTGGAACTACGTCTTCCAGCTGGAGCAGGCTGGGGACCTGAATCCTGGAGTGCGGGCCGCCCTCGCCGCTCGTGGCTATGTGGGTGCCGAGACTCGCTCGGCACCCGACGTGGAGTCGCTGAAGGCGGTGCTGTCAGGGTTCGAGAATATGGAGACGACCAACACGTTCGATGGCACGTTCGGGGCGCCAGCGGTGGCCGCGGGAGGAGCCGAGGTGGACGCCTGGGCCCACTCGCTGCCGCCGGACTTCAAGAGGGCTGGGATGGAGATCTATCGGAATATACGCGCGGCTGGGAGCACGAGCATCAGGCATTGGCTTCAGTCTCAGTATTCAGGATATCGAGGAGGAGAGCAGTGGCAGTCGCTGTGGAGCACAGCGGCGACGTTGGACTTCGAGCTAGGCAAGTGCGTGAATGACCAGGAGTTGATGATTTGTCTCAACACGAATGACAATGTGGAGATAGGGTTGCGCCATCTGTCGGCCTACGTGTACGAGTCACGGACGCACGACAAGGCGGGCGCAGCCAGGCTGCGGGCAGTCACCGCCCCAGGGAGCGGCATAGACATCGCGCCTGGCTGGCTCATCACGGAGGCAACGACACACAGCAAGATGGAGCACCAACGGGCTGAACGAGTTGCAGCTGAGCTACGACGACGGAGCGGCGGCAAGGGGAAGGACAAGGACAAGGGCCGTGGTCGTGGCGACAAGAGCTCGGGAGGCTGACGCCTGCCGGGGGCCCTCCACCAGGAGTCGCGAGGTGGAGGGCTGCGAGATGCTCGAGAAGGGCAGCGACAGTTTCAGTTGGAGGATGTTGATGGAGCCCCCCCAGGCACGCACTGCTCAGTCTTCGCTCAAGGCGGGTCTGGGAGGCCAGAGGGTACCGGGCTGGGGGGAGCCCCCCAGTCACGCACTGCTCAGCCTCATCCGCCGCCGAGCGAGAAGACCAGAGGGTACCGGCCTAGGGGGGGGGAGAGGTGGATTGCCAAACCAGATAAGCCTAGTGAAGATGCGAAGTTCAGTTACACTCAGAGTTTCCCTTCGATATCTGAAATGGCCTCTGCTTTCGGTGCCAGCGATGCGGTCCTACCAGTTCCACTTCTTGCACAGCCAGGTCGTGTGTCAGTGCGTTCGGGTCGGAGTAGGCAGCGGCTACATCGGAAGCAGATGGTGAGAAAGGTTGCCAATCGAGTGCTCTGTGCTCTCAACTCGACCTACCTGGGCAATATGAAGCAGCAGACCACACCGTGGCGGCAGAAGTTTAGCAATGATCTGCTGTCGGGCGGGTCCAGGCGCGGGCGATCCAGCACGCAAAGGACCAGCTCAATGTTCGCCGGCTGTTCCCAGTGACAGGCGTACAAGCGACGTGTGAGCTACTGAAGTTGGACCAGATAGGCTACAGGAGAGTGCACAAGAGAGACGTCCACACGGAGTTCATTGCCAGCAGAGTGGACGAAGTGACGACGCTGAAGGTTGTCCCGCTACTCGAGGCGTTGCCTGCCGACGAGGCAGAGTACTACGAGAAGGAGGAGAACGTCGTCGAGATGGCGGGCAAGTCCATGCAGCACGTGGAGGAACTAGAGAGGCAGTTTGGGTTCTTTGGGGGCCAGATGGAGCAGTGGATATCCTACCTTCATCGTGATGACCTTCCGCCAGGGCTGTGGGTGTTTAGACCAAGGAGCGAGGTGATGACGATCAATGGAGTTTCAGCAGTTTTGAAGAAGGACGGCTATAAGTTGAGGAAGCTCATCATGGCAGTGCCCACCAACTATCTCTGGAGTGATGTGCGACGTCGTGGTGAACACGGACTAGGCGGAGGAGGTGCGCTTGCCATGATGCGGGCGCCAGGCATGGAGATACACATGGCACGATGTGATGAGAGCAACGCGTTCTCTTCAGTTCTCTTGCCTGAGTGGATGTGGAAGTGGATGGCGACCCCCGCCATCCCGGCAGCAGCAGTATGGTCCTTGTTACCCGTGGACATGAGGAGCGTACTCCAGGAGTGGTCTCTGGTGTGCCCTTGCTACACCAGACTACCGATGGGTTTGTCTCATGCTGTTCACATCTTGATGTGCATCAACCTGGAGGCAGTGGGGAGGACACTGGTGAGATCGGCCGCCTTCGGAGAGTCCATGGAGAGCCAGTTGAGTGATCTTCCTGACGAGGCCGTTGTGGAGGACGTCGAGTGGGTCAAGGAGAAGGCCTTGCGCCGCGCTGAGCGGCGCCAAGAGGCT